TTCCATCATCACACCAGTTTTATTTAATTGTTGCATATGGCTGCCAACTCTAAAAATAGTTTCAGTCTGAAGGAAGACATGCACTGGCTAGAACTGTTTTGAGGAATTGGCTAGGGTCCCATCAGGGGTTGCAATCCCACTTAAAAAAAAAGAAAAGAAGAAAATTCTTTCTTCGATTCTCCCTGTCTTACATGAAATGCATGGCCAAGATCCAATTTCTTTTTGCATTTTTCATTTGTAAAAGTTCAAAATTCAAATTTATTATTTATTATCTGTTTCTGTACTTCATGGACCTCTATAGAAAAAATATTTCTCCAGACATTCACTGTTTGTATTCTGAGCAAATTATATATATTTCTTTGTGTGTTATTTTTCATCAAATGTGTTCAGGCAGCCTGTATAATTTAGTTATAGGATTAAATTTTAATAATTTTAGTATTTCTTTAGATATAAATTTACAAACTCACAGAATATACTCTTTTAGAGTATTTTCCATTATACACTGAGTCAGTTACAGTATGGAAACTAATTTACTCTTGAAATTCAACCTAGTAGCACAACGTAGAAGAATTTGTGTCTAAGGAGAATGTAAAAAAGATTGAGATAGCCAATTATTTTACTCACGAGGTTGTTTTCAGTTGTTATGTCTTGTAGACTTTTTAAAAATATAATAACTTTACTAATACATGATACACATACTATCCAATTCATCCATTTAAAGTGTACAATGTTGTGAATAGGTTTTACTATATTCAAAAATCGTGCAACTACCACCACTATCTAATTCCAGAATATTTTCATCATCCCCAAAGGAGGCCACATACCCATTAAGTAGTTACTCCACTTTCTCCCCTCACTCAGGCCCTCACAACCACTAATTTGCTTTCTGATTCTATGGCTTGCCTATCCTGGATATTTAATATAAATTGAACCATACCATATGTGGCCCTTGTGACTCGCTTCTTCCATTTAGCATGTTTTTGAAGTTCATTCATGTCGTTGCATGTATCAGTACTTCGTTCTTTTGATAGTGGAATAATCTCCCATTTTGGGGATATACCATATTTTGTGTATCTATTCATCTGTTGATAGACACTTGAGTTTTTTTCCACTTCTTGGCTATTATGAATAGTGCTGCTATGAACATGAGTGTACAAATATATCTTTGACCCTGCTTTCAGTTCTTTTGGGTATATACCTAGGTTTAGAAGTGCTAGTTCATAATGGTAACTGTTTAACATTTTGAGGAATTGTCAAACTGTTTGCCACAGCAGCTGTGCTATTTTATATTCCCACCAGCGAGGTATGACAATTCCAATTTCTCCAATTTTTTCTCTCTTTTTTATTATAACCATCCTAATGTGGTTTTCATTTGTATTTCTTCCATCTGTTTATTAAAAATATAAATA